GTTTCGACCGATTAGTGCATTGAACTTCAACTCTGACAACTTGATTCTGGCTTCACGCGGCTGCGAATGAGAGAGAAAGCAGGGACGAATTAATGCGGGGGAACGATGAACTTTCGAGTTTCTTTATATTACTCGTGAAACATTATTTATTATTTCCCAGCATGAATCCGTCACTGTTTTTTCTCCCATTCGCAGACACGCGAAGCTAGAATCGAGTCGTCACAGTTAAATTCCAATGCATTAATCGTCGAAACTCGGCTTCACACTTTTAATGATATATCGAAGACGAATTAACTTTTTTTAATTTTTAAAGGCTTATTTAAAGCTGAAATTCTAACGAAAATTTCTGTGCTTTTAGAAAAATTTTATCTAAATTTTTCTAGATTTTTGAAAAAGTTGAAGTCAAGAGACAAAAATGAGAAAATTTGATAATTTTTTTATTTCTTTTTCACTCTACAACTCAAAAAATAGCTAACGAAATGACTTTAAAGACGGCTTATTTTACGCAAAATTTAATCAGCTTTCTAACCGTATTTAAGTTTTTTTTGTGTCTCCTTTTATTTACGAGATATGATTGAAAAAGTGATGGCATGTTTTTTTAGAGAGTCGCTTGTAATCGTCCTGATACTCGTGTACGGTAGTGTAAATTCAAACTGTATAATATAAAAATTTACTAAACTAATAATTATAATTGATAACACAGATCAACAAAAAAAGACTTAATTTTATTTATGGGATAGCGGAACGGTTTCCGATGTATTTTGGACGCTAAACACGATCCCGACTTCCCAAATTGCCCATCATGTCAGGCTTTTGAGAAAAGTGGGAGTAAAGACGAATCCGATATTAGTTATCAAAAATTTAATATGGCGGAACCAAGATGGCAGATGTAAAAATTAATACCAATTCTTTCGTGAACCCTAGTTTTTCAGTTTTTTACACCTTTCTCTTAAAATAATCAATAAAAAGTTAGCAATCAACTTATATATCATCACAAAACAATTACAAACAAATATCTAGCACAATTTATAACACAAATAGTATAACAATTGAATAGCACGTGTTATTTAGTCGCTGTATATTCTTGAGTTTTATTATTGTTTAAATCATACAATAATGGTGTAAGTTGATAGATTATTTTAAACTTATTGTTTTTTTACTCAGTGATGTGCTTGTTTACTCTGTGACCTAAAAGGTCAGTTTCCAAAAATTAGCATCACATACGCACAGGTCTCCTCAGAAGTGGGCAGGTTATTCTAAAATGTAACGCTGCAAACTTGGTGGGGAGTTGTTCCAAATGACTTCCAGATTTTAAATTTTCAAACCGATAAATCGTACCTGATCCTCTTTTCGAATTATCTCTTTTACAGATAGTCAGAAACTTAAAAATGTATTATCTTAATGTGGAAGCTTTGATTCAGAAGACTGCTGATTTTTCGTTATTAAAAATTTTTTAGACAAAGATTTTATAGATAATTATGTTCATGATTTTGAGAAAAGTGGGGGTAGGGGAGAGTGGGTCAAGACGGGGTACTTAAGGTTTAAAGCGCAAAAAAACGAAAATTATCGAATACAAATTATATTAATTTATTTAATATCCATCTTTGGGAATCAGTCTTTAGTAATAAAGGCGCACAAAGGCCATTTGTTTCTTAAAAAATCATAAAATTAATAATATGGAAAAATTGCAAATCTCCCCATCTTGACCCACCGGCGCGGTACTAAAAAAGCAGCCTATTTCTGTCGACAAATTTTACAAGTAAAGGTTGCATCTTCATCTTCGTCATTGGCACCAGCACAACGGCACAAAGCCCATTGGCCGCAGACAGAAGAAGCAGCCCAGCCTTCATTTGAGTCTAAATAATAACCATTACAAATTATAGAGACAAGGTGTATTTTCCACTTTACCATCGCTAATTATTGATTTAACCTGACAAGCTTTTTTCTTTTTGGTCACTCTTATTTTATTCAGTCTTGACTTAAGTAGTTTTCTTAACTTCCCTTATTTCTCTTTTCTTTTGCTTCATTTGTGTACCCCGCCTTGCCCCACTCTTCCCTACCCTATTTTGACCGCACCTACGAAATTGAATAAAATGATTAATTACTACAATTTACGATTCAGCAAAGAAAGAAACATATGCTTCCCTTCTTCTGTAACCCTTGCCAGCTATAAAAAATTTTATATAGTTTATTAACTGTTATTATTAAATAATAAACACCTCCTAAAAAAAGTGAAAAATTCACAAGAAAATCGTCGAAAACAGTTTTTTTAGTAAAACAGATAAAAAATTTGTTTTCATGGCTTTTAGGTTTTGTAAACAAGAGACTATCGTCTCGGTGCAGTATTATGTAAAATATAATCGCGATTGGTTAATTCGTTTGTTAAATAGGGCCGGTACCCCGTCTTGCCTCACTCTCCCCTATAAGTCCCAAAAATCACTTTTTAGTTTTTGTAAATACAACTGTTTTAAGAAATGATTGGATTGGTTTAAAATTTGTTACTCAGGGGTTTCTGGTCGCTGATTGCGAATATGATGTCAAAATAAAAATATCTGTGGACAAATTCCTAATCAGCGAAACCCCGCAAGTAACGTGTTTCAGGCAAATTGAATCGATTTTTAAAAGTCGATCGCCTATCTGTATAAGAGATAATTCGAAAAGAGGATCAGGTACGATTTATCGGTTTGAAAATTTTGAATCTGGAAGTCATTTGGAACAACTCCCCACCAAGTTTGCAGCGTTACATTTTAGAATAACCTGCCCACCTCTGAGGAGACCTGTGTACGTTTAATGTATAGTTTTCTCCTTATTTACAATTCTGCTAGAACAGTTCAATAGTTTTAATATAAAACGAAAATGTCTTTTTTCAGCATGGCTTTTTCACCCCATTCTACTCTATATAACAGCTCATAAGTACCCCACAGTGAGCAAAAACGCTCGTTTTTGTGTCAAAATCATAGAACTGTTGACAGACTTGACCAATTTTTATAAATCTAAAAGGAAATAAAAGCTTACTTAGGAATAGAGGAAAAATATAGAGAATATGATATGCAATATTAAAATGACAAACTTACTAAAATGCAAAATAATTTTAAATTAATGGAATTCATTTGAAACTCGTCACTCGGGGGGTATTTGGGGTAGCTGATCAGGAATCTGTTGTCGGTTTAAAAAAATTAAAAATGTCGGATCCAACATGGCGGACATAAATTGTAAAATGTTATTTAGTTTTCTTGAAACTCGTGACTCAGAGGTTTGTGGGGTCGCTGAATACATATATGATAGCACTTTTTTAAACTTCAATATGGCGGATATAAATTGTAAAATGTTATTAAACTAACTTGAATCTCGTCAGTTAAAAAACGTTTTCATATATCAATCGGTTAATAATGTTCTGTTTACATTATATGAAATCTAATTTCTGTTTATTAGAATAGGGGAAGTATTAATTTCTGCATAAATTCAAGGTAATGTAAAGTAAAATTTATAAACCGAATTTATAAACCAAATTCAAAATGAGTAGCATATGATACTCATTTTGAAGTGCAACAAAAATGATACCCCTTCGACTCATTCGAAGTTATGTGTTTGAAGTATTTTTCATCTGTTTCCAAGGCATTAAATCAGCTCTTTTTGAATTTTGGAAACCGCCATCAGATTTGTATTGAGCGACCCAAAAAATCCCCGAATGAACAGATTCAAGAAAATTAAATAACATTTAACAATTTATGTCCACTATGTTGAATCCGCCATTTTGAATTTTTAAAAACAAACATCAGATTCGTAATTAGCGATCCAAAAAACCCCTGAGTGGCGAGTTTCAAGTCAATTCGATCGATTTAAAATTTTTTGCGTATTGTGAATTAGCGAGTACTCTTTTTATGTAATAGTCGCGTAACAGTATGTAATAGAGTATTATTATGTTAGTGTAATACGTCATAATATGGAGGAAATATCATATATTATATATATTATATTACCCTTTAATATCCATAAAGATTTCTAAATATTTATTATTACATGTAACAACGAAAACGTCTTTGTTCTAGAAACATTCCTAACACGTTTTTAGAACGTTTCATGTCCGCTACATAACATGTTAAGAACGTCCAATGTTCTAAAAACTTTTTTAAAACATAAAACGTTCTTAAGACGGTATGTGGAGGACATGAAACGTTCTAAAAACGTTTTAGGTACGACTCTAGAACAAAGACGTTTCCGTGCCCACAGGGTCCACTCTAAGCAATGATGGATGCTAGTATTTCTCTAAACGCTTATTTTGAATTGATAGAAAATTTATTAGTAGCGATGATTTGTGACGAGGGAAATGAAGTTCTGTCAAAAGCAACGAACAAAATTTTAGATGCTAGAGTTAAGTGCTGCAAACGAAAATGTTCCAGAGCGAATTTTTCCAAAATTTATATATTCATCAAAAAACGAATACGAGATGATTGTTAGTTTTAGGACACTTTAAGACATTAAAAAGTCAGCAAAAAATTAATTAATAAATTAAATAAAATTAATTAAATTAATTAAATTAATTAGTATTAATTTTATACCAAAAAAAAATTTATGATTTTTGTGTTTTGCCAAAAAATAAAAAATTTTGGTTTTCTGCTATCGACATGTGTTTATGAATGAAACTGTTGTTTTGCACATGTTTTATTGAGCTAAAAAGGCAACATTCTCCCAATATTAGTATATGATTCTAAAAAACAGTTATTTTTTGGCCCACCCCTAGTTCACAATTATGCGTCTCTGTTGTCCCTAAATTTTTTCCATATGGAAGTGTCCCCAATACAACCAATTACATAGTTTATATTTATACGGACGGGTGACAGAATTATATTTCACGACATTAAATTTGTAGTCAAAAGAAATTCTGCTTCATTACTATTTTAAAACCTTTTATTTTGAGGTTGGAATATTGACTTCTTTAGAGCACCCACATGTTGCGCTTTTTCTTCATAAGTAATAAAATATATTTTTAATTCCTTTAGACTGTTGAAGATCTCGAAGCTCGTTGTAAAGAAGCCGGAATTGAAATAGTCACTCGTCAAAGTTTTCTATCTGATCCAGCAGACGCAGTAAGAAATCTACGACGTCAAGACGCCAGAATTATAGTCGGTCTTTTTTACGTGGATGCAGCTAGACGAGTTCTTTGCGAGCTTTATCATCAAAACATTTATGGAAAAAGTTATGTTTGGTTTTTTATAGGATGGTACGAAGACAATTGGTTTGAAGTTAATTTAGATAAAGAAAATATCGTGTGCACAAAAGAAGAAATGCGTCAAGCTGCTGAGGGCCATATGACAACTGAAGCTTTAATGTGGAATCAAAATAATGAGACTACAATAAGCGGCATGACTTCCGAAGATTTTAGACAAAGATTAAATAAAGTCCTGCGAGAAAAAGGATTTGATATAGATAACAATAGATACCCTGCGGGATATCAAGAAGCACCTTTAGCCTACGACGCTATTTGGGCTGTTGCTCTAGGTAAAAAGAGTATGAAATTAAAATATTTTTAATAGAAATAGTACATTGTACAACTAGTGGCGAAAGTGTGATTTTTCAAAAGTGAAGTTTGCGGCTCGAGCATAGCGAGAGCAGCAATCACTCGAGAAAAATCATTCTTTCACCACGAGTTGTGCACTACGTTTTCTCCAACGCCTTGCGAGGAAAGGTTTCTTTGTGAGTTTCGTATAATTTTAATTTAACGTGTGCTTTTGTTTAATATAATAAAAGACGAATGTTTTGAGTGGGGAAGAAGTTAGATACAAAATAAATCTCGGTCAAAGAACAAGAAAAAAGAATAAATTCATGATTTACTTTCGCCACGCCAAATTTACTTTCGCCACGCTAAAAATTACTTTCGCCACGCCAAATTTTACTTTCGCCACGCTCTTCAGAGCAGTTGAGAAAAGTTCTACTTTCGCCACACTTTTCTACCAAGAAAAGTACTCCTTTCAGAGCAAGTGTTGGAGAAAGTATTATTTCTTCACTAATTATGAATTTTATAATATTAATCGTTTTTTATTTTAGCCTTTAATAAATCGATGGAGAAATTAAATAAGCTAGGAAAGAGCCTGAAAAATTTTACTTATACTGATAAAGAAATCGCCGACGAAATATATTCTGCAATAAATTCTACACAATTTCTCGGAATCTCGGTACGAATTAATTATTTAAACAATTTTACACCTCGCATTAATATACAATATTTCCTGAATTTCAACATTATCTATATTAATCTTGATAGTCCTTCATTTACTCATTCATGGAAAGTCTCTTCCTTTTTTTTAAAAAATTAAACGCTACTAACAAAAATAGTAATTGACAAATCGAAATCATGCAAGTATTTAAAATTTTTTTTTCTATAAAAACATATTTGTTTGACAATTTGAAATTATACAGGTTTATTTTTTTTCTTTAAAAAAATTAGAAAATTGTTAAAAAATTATAGTTAGAAAATGAAATATGTCCCACTAACGCTCAGACTGATGGAATATTTGAATTGTCTTTGAGAACCTCGTTTTTTATAAAAATGCAAACAAAATTAACATGTATCATTTCTAATGTAAAATTCTTTCCTCTTTCAGATTCTGTGGTAAAAATATGCTTACAACAAATATTATATAATTTATAAACAATTTAGTTTAGAAAAATACTACTTTTGGAATAAAAAATTATTTTCAGACATATTCTCACTGGGAATAGTAAGTAGATGTTCTCAAAAGTTCAAATTATCGAGTACATGAACCTTTAGTTACCAAATTCTAAAGCGATCAAATTTAAATTGTAAATGTTGGACACAAAAATGTGGGTGAAAAATTGACCACAAAAAACATTGAACTCAAAGTTTTTAAAGACACTGAAATCGATTAAAACTCGTTATTCGGGGGTTTTCAGGGTCTATCAACGATAAAGACATTATAGACAGAGTATAGAGAAAGAAAATGCATGACGAGAAAGGGCGAAATAACCAACGAAGGCAGACAAAAACAAGTTTAATAAATGTATTTGAGAAAATACAATTAAATGTATTACATTTAATTGTATTCTCAATTAAAATGAGATTCGAGTAATCCATCATATTAGATCCGCTATTTTATATTTGTTGAAACTGAGATCAAATTCGTAATCAGTGTTTTTGGGGTCGTTCATTGCTGAAACTGTTTTTAAGATCCACTATTTTAAATGTTGTAAAACTAGCAAATAATTCGTAATCAGCGACCTCAAAAACCCCCCAGTAGCCATTTTTATAAGCTTAGCTCAACCTTTCAAATTTTCCGTCTGCTTTAATAGTTCCGCTATTGAATTTTGCAAAACTGACATAGGAAGACACTTTTCTCGAAATCTACAGAAGATATTTTAAAAAACCAAAAACCATTCGATTCTTTATCTAAAAAATTGGACAACAAACCTCTAAAATATTACATTTCTGTCCACTGATATTTTCTACGTGGGTAAATTGCCCAGAACAAACAAAAGTTCTACGACTTAAAAAATTCGTACATTCGTCTACTTTCGAATGCCGAGTGGCGTTTTTCGATAATTAAAAATGACGATGCCAATATGGCCGATAAATGGCATTAAGTTATAAAATTTTTAAATTGCTTTGCTTATTAAACGTCCAAAAGAACACAAATTATTCTCAAATATTTTATCCAATAGTTTTTAGGGTCGCTGAATGCGAATCTGATGTTAGTTTTTCAAAATTCAAAATGACTGATCCCCTTCAAAGGGTTAACTTTCAGGATAAAATATGTGAAAATGTGAAGTGAATGAGTATTGATAAATTAGTGTGTATTTCAGGGGAAAGTGTTGTTGATATGACTATTTGATGTATGATAAATAGTGAAAAGGTGTAAAGTTATTGTTTTGAAGTGTAATCATTTGTTAATAATTAGTCAAAGTTGATGTTTTAATAGTATTAACAAATAATGGATATAGCAATAGTGTTGACTGAGTGTGCGAGTTCTAAAGTGCACATTCAGTGCACATTTGGTTAATGTAAAAATAAATTGATACAATTGATGAAAAATGTTGAAATAAACATTATTATTGAATAAATAGATATGTATAGAGTAAATGAAAAAAACATTTATGATAAATAATTTTGAAAATAATTAATTATTGGCGGGTTCCACTTCAAATCAGGCAGATTCTCCACTTTAGGGTAACACCACTCTAGTGGCAGAAAAAAGACCTATATATGATGATTTATTTTGGGGAAAGGAATAGGATTTCTTTTTAGAGGGTTTATTAAATATATATTAAAGTGCCAAAAAAATTTTTTTTATTTATATTTCACTACGAAATGGCGGCGATAGATGACATATTCAAATAGACAATTTTGTTTTATTACCAAAACGGGAGGACAAAAAATAAACAGTAAATTGTTTATAATTTTTACAAAAAGTAATATAAAGAAATTCCCTACGTACTACCAAAGTGAATAGTGTATAGATTATGAAATTTCTTGGTTTTCAGTTCCAGGTATTATACTTTTCAAGAAAATAGTCCTCCCGTTTTGGTAATAAAAAAAATTGTCGATTTGAATGTCATCTGTCGCCGTCATTTTGTAGTAAAATTTAAATAAAAAAAATTTTTGTACACTTTAATATGTACATATTTAATAAACCATCTAAAAAGAAATTCTATTCTTTTTTCCATTTCTCCAAAAATAAATCATCAAATATAGGTCTTTTTTCTGCCTCTAGTGTAGTGTTACCCCTTAACATTACAGATTGCTACTAAAAATAAAATATGTAGTTTTTTACTAGAAATTAACAGACACGTGTTTTCTCAATTTAGAAAAAAAAATTCTTTTAAGTTATCAGTACTTGAAAGTTACAGAATTTTTATCAAAAAATTCAATTTTTTCTTCAAATCTATATAACTTTTGGCCTAATTAGACTGTTGATGCTTTCTTTGTAAAATCTAATGTGTTTTTTTGCACTCCTTTATTATTCACAAGAATTTTCCAAAAATATTCAGAATTATAAAAATGGAGATGATTAAAAAAAATATATGAAATTGATTTTCTAAAAAACCCCAATATTCAAGGTTTTACTTATATTTTAAAAAACAGTATTAAACAATTTCAATTCTCTGCATTCGAATTTACAATATATAATTTGTGTTTTGCGGTTTTGATTAAAAAGATTGTAACTATAATAAAACTAATAAACATTCAAACTAAATTTGATTCACTGCAACATCAGAGCTGACATTGCAGCGAAAGAAATTTATTTTGAATGTCAAATGTTATTATTATAATTACAATCATTAATAATTATTTTATAATTTATAATTATACCGATTTGTGAACATTTGTGCATATATGTGCAAATTGAAATAGAAATTAATTAAATATAGAGTTGTAATAAATTAATTTCTATTACATAAGGTATTTTTTAATCAAAAGTGGAAAATTTTAAAATAAATGTTTTCTTATTAAACAATCTTTTACGTCCGAGAAATAGTAATTATAGTGAAGGAGAATAAAACGAAAACATTCGGACAAATAGTTTTTAAAAATTAGTTTACTTCAACGTTTCGAAATCTAACCGATTTCCTCTTCAGGGAGTCAAAAAAATTTATAACTAAACATTCGTCAGCAAAAAATAAAAATAAATTCACCCATCAAACGTCAGAGAAAACATAGAGTTTGGAGTCATGACTATAAAAGATTATAAAACCAATTTTGTAATAAATAAATAAATAAACATTAACATCATAGTTAAATAAATAAATTAACACTGATAAACATGGACATTATGATGACACACATTTATAATAACACACCACAGAAATTTTAAAAAAGTACTTAAATAAATTAAAATAATTATAATAATAAATAATAATAAAATAATTTGATGGGTGAATTTATTTTTATTTCTTCCTGACGAATGTTTGGTTATTCATTTTTTTGACTCCCTGAAGAGGAAATCAGTTAGATTTCGAAACGTTAGAGTAAAATAATTTTTAAAAACTATTTGCCTGAATGTTTTCGTTTTATTCTCCTTCACTATAATAAATGTTTTTATAATTCAATTACAAAAAATTAAAACCTATAGCCTTTTGCCATCTGGAAGCAATCAAGCGAAACATTTCGCTATTTTGTATCATCTGTCATTTGACAGATTGACATTTTAAACTTTTTCCGGAGCAAAAAAAACTAAATTTTTATAAATTAAAGTGAGTATTTATGAGATTTGATACTAATTTACCTTTTTCAACAGCTGGTACATGTAAAGGTGAGTGTATTTTAACGTAAACATAATAAATACAAATCGGTACACACTAATTACATATGCTTCTATTTGTGAACGAAAAGTAAAAACTATTTATAAATAATACAATTTTTACATTATATAAAAGTAGATATTAGATATTTTAAATAACCTTAATACTCAAATTTTTCAAAAATATTGTTAACTTTTAAGAAACAGACAAAATGGTCAGTGTCAACGTGAGTGTTGTTTATTATTTGTCAATAGAGCCTTAATATTAGGGTTATTGAGTTCTAAGTTTTGTAATTTATTTAAAACACGAATTATTTATTGTAAATTCGAATGCAGAGAATTGAAATTGTTTAATACTGTTTTTCTAATCTGTTTAGCGAATCTGATTTTTAGATATTATATTTCTAATAGCAAGACGATGTTAATAAAAAAATCACCAAAAAATATAAAGGCGGGGTTTTTGAGAAAATCAAATTTATAATTTTTTTAAAAATTGTCGCCGTTTTGATAATTCTAAATATTTTTTAAAAATTCTTATGGACAGTGGAGGATCCAAGGGGGGTCATCACCCCCCCTGGGGCGAAAAATTATATAAAAAAGGTCAACTAATCATGGTCGTCCTCGCGCATCTTAGGATGACCACCCTGGAGTAAATTCTGGATCCGCCACATAGAAAGCCTTAATACTCTAATCAGGCCAAAAGTTATACAGATTTAAAGAAATAAATTGAGTATTTTTTTCCAAATCGGGAAAACACGTGTCTCTTAATTTCTTGTGAAATTATCTATCTACACCTTGTAGATAGTGACTTTCTTCGTTAGTACGCACAGTGGGGCCAAACTGAAATTTACTGTTCATAATAGTCCAGAGTCTTTATTTTTTAACCGATTTTACTGACCTTTGTTTTAAATGAAAGATTA